AGGAGGAGGAGGAGGAGGAGGGTGACGGTACGTGGAGGGCGGCGCGGAGGGGCTGCTCCCTCCCGCTCTCCCCCCCTCTTCTCTCTCGGGCCCTTTTTGGGGTGTACGATCCCCCCCCAAGCGCCCCATTTCTCCTCTGTCGGGCCCTCGCCTCAGGCGGGATGGGGCCCCTGCGCCTCACACCGGCCTCTCCCCCGACACGCCGCGCCCGGCCCCGGGTTGTCCTGGGCCCCGTCGCCCTCCCCCGCGGATGGGGGGGGACGTGAGGGGGCGAGGGCCGAGCCGGGGGAGCCATCCCGGCTGGCGGGGTGAGGAGGAGAAGGAGTCGGCCCGGGCGGGGGTTTCCCGGCCTCCCCGCTGCCGGCGGGGCCCGTGGCCGGGTGGGGCGGGTTGGGGTCTGCTCGCCACTCGTTATAAAGGGGTGGTTTGTGAGAGGAAGGGAGATGTGCTACGCGGGTGCCGGCAGCCTGGCGTCTCTCCACAGCTGCTGATTTCCTAAAGCTTTAGTTTTACTGGAGTTTTAAGCTTTCCTTAAAACATAGGTGAGAACTGGGCTCTCATTACGTGTGCTTCCCTGCAGTTCTGCAGTCCGTGGTCTGGAAATGTGGGAACTGCAGAAGCAGCTACAGTATCTTGTTTTCCACACTTTGTTGACGTTCAGGTAGCACAAACAGAGTGATAGGGGCTTGGGTTAACTCCCACTGAAGATAATGTATTTTCAAGTGCTAGATAAGTAATTTATGTCATGGGCAGACAGGGTGATGTTGTGATTTAAGGGCAGATCCTGAAATAATGAGCATTGCAGGAGGTGCTGTTTCCTTTCTATTTCTTGTTAGGGAAAGTTGCAGTCTAGTACTAATAGTTACTGAGTATTTGTGGTGCTGCAGTGGTGCCTGATGTCTCTAAACACATTGAAACAGCTGCATTTATTATGCATCCCTTTTGAAAGGAAGGAAAAAAGTAAAACTGTCCAGATTATCTTGAGTTTTTCTGTTTTCTTTAAGATCGTGGAAGGGAAGCATGCAAGGGGTGAGGAAGGTGGTCATTTGAAGCACCTTCTGAAGCCACCTTGCTGGGCCATTGAGACCCATACTGAGCAGGAACAGTTGCTTCAGCTGGAGTCTGATGGCCATGGTGTAGGCTCCAAGTCCACAAATGCTATTGTTGAGCTTTTGTGGAGCAGTTCAGTTCCACAGGGAAAAGGGAGTAGGCCCTTGGAAGTAGCCCACAAGTGGATGCAGGTTTCTGGTTGCCAGTTGAGCCATACTTCCTAAGGAAATGTGTAAGGTGGGATACTGTGTCCAGCTCTGGGCTCCCCAGTACAGGAAAGACAACACCATACAGGAGCAAGTCCAGCGAAGGGCCACAAAGATGATTAAGGATGTTTGACATACAGGGCAAGACAGAACTGGGACTCTTCAGCCTGGAGAAAAGTCAGTTGGATCTTATGAACAAGTACCTGATGGGAGGGAATAAAGAAGATGGAGGCAGACTTGTTTCAGTACCATGCAGTGAAAGCACAACAGGCAGTGGGCACAAGCTGGTACATAATTTATTTTCATTTAAACAGAAGAAAAATTATTTTCTGCTCTGGTAATCAACATTGGAACAGGTACCCTAGAGACATTTTAGCATCTCCATCCTTGGAGATAATCAAAACCCACCTGGAAATGATCCTGAGCAACCTGCTGTAGTTAACCCTACTGTGAGTAGGGGGATTGGACTAGCCAGTCTCCGAAGGTCCCTGCCAACTGCAGGGGTTCTATGATCTCTAATGTACTTGAAGGAACATGTCTTTGTTTTACTTCAAGAAACTTTTTTCCCCCCAGTGCCTTGTTGTTTTACTATTCAGTTGCTATAAATCTGTGAAAGTTTTCATTGTTTGTTTCATCTGTCAGTACTAACATTTAGTTTGCTCCGCAGATATCCTGTAGCATGGCAGGTGAAGAGGACTTCTTTCTGGAAGAAAAAAGATTCAAGCAGTACTGTGAAGAATTCATTAAACATTCACAGCAGATAGGAGATGGTTGGGAGTGGAGAACTAGCAAGGTAAAATAATCAACTGTGTTAATTTTTAGATACCGTTGCTTGCCTTTCTGAGCTGTTGACAACCACCACAAGTAGAACATCCCTTAAGGAGGGTTTTCAACATGTAAATTAAATGGCATTTTACACAGCTGGTCCAAGAACACAACAGTGCATAGATGGTCTACATGAGGTTTTAAGCCAGTACATGTACTGAATAGGGATCATGAATCCAGAAACAACTTCTGGGATGGCCAAGTGCAACTGGTTGTATAACAAAGGGGTAGGATCACCTGAGATGATTTCAGTTTTGATCAGAAAATGTCTTTTAAGGATTACTCAGCCTTAATTATCAGGATTCCTAATGATGGGGAAACAGTCACAGCTCTCAACAAGCCTTTCAAATAGTTGGCTACGCTAAACATGGATTTATTTTTTTTTAAAAAAAGCTGTTACTTTTAACTGCCTAGCTTCATCCTCCAGCCATTGGTAGCTGTATGTTGTTTATTAAGCTGAGGGCGCTTCTTTTATCAGAACTCTTCCTGTTCTGGTACTTTAGATTCAGATCAATTCATCCCTTAACCTTGTCAGTCTAAAAGCAAAACATGTTGAGTTCCCCGACTATTTGATGTATTTTCCAATATTTTAATCATTCTTGTGGATCTCCTCTGACTCCCTTCCAGTATATAAAGGTCCTTTTTCAGCTGTGGGCAGAAGTAGACAATGAATGTTGTATCACTGTGAAATTCAAACCCTCCTACTCTGGGCAAGAACTTGTGGTTGTATATCCAAGGAGTACTTTAACCCTTTAAGGTGAAAGAGCTTAAGTCTTTGTTCTAGATGTGTGACTTGATATTTTGTATTAAAATGCATGTTAGTTGCATACAGCAACCAGAAGAATCTGTCTGTATTAGTGATCAATCCTCATTGTTTGCTGCTTCCCCATAACTTTCAAAGCTCACCAATAATAATTACATGTTGTTTCTAGGTCATTTATCGAAATTTTAAATAGCGTGGGGCCCTGACAAAATCTATTTTTTTGTCAAATAAGTTCATTTACTTTATTTACTGAATTCTATATGATGCCTTCCATTATATTGCTTGGGATGATGTCAAGCTAATACGTGTAAAGTTACATGAATTAGCCAGTATATAAAGATATATTGATACATGCTGGCTTTTTCCAAAGGTCTCTGAAACTTCCACAGTGCTCGAAGACGTAAGGAAAATCAGCAGTTCTTATGTACTGATTTAAAAATATTTAGTGATAGTCACTTTGAGCTAATGACCTGCTGAAATGAAAACTTCATAATAATTACGGCTTATGGCTACATAATCTGTATTTGTTCTATAATAACAACAGAAATATTGAATACTTGCTTTTCCTAGTTTGAATGCTTCTGTTGTTCTCCATCCAATGATAAATCCACTCTGTTCTAGGATTTCTTTTTGCCACACTTTTTTTCATGGGTGGGCAATGCTCATATATTCTCTTGCATCTCTGACTGGTTTTCAGTAATGGATAGTTTGGGATACCCATTATTATCTGTGTATTTCTTTTTTCTGCTGTAGAAAACTTATTGCTCTATTTTTTTTTAATTAATTTTTTTAAACTTTAATGACTTTAGTGGTTTCCCATGTTTTCATGAATTTTGGGGAAAACAATCACACTTGTATCATTTTGAAATGCAGGAAGTCCCAGAGTAAATGTATGCCATCATTTGTACATAAGTAACTGTACATTAGCATTTGTGACACATTCATCACAGATGAAACAGAATTTCAGTAAGAAGCAGGATCTTGGCCTTAGATACATTCTGTTTAGAAGTTTTTAAAAGAGTGCAAATATTTGCCAAGTGTGACAATGCACCCTTTCTTACAGGCAACCATTTGAAACTTTAGATTTCAGTCCAAGGCTATATTTGTGAGGATTTATTCAGCAAAGAAAGATGCTCTGAGCCTCAGTTGGGAATTTAATACATAGGTCAAAGTTTGAACTTTCTGTGAAATAAGAAGCTTTGCTGGAAATAACAGAATGAGATAGATTTTTTGTTCTCACATAAAAAAATTGTTGGAGGTTTTTTTTTTTTTTAATGGGCGAAGTTGGCGACTCTGTGATTTCAGTGTGTGATAAAAACCTGGCCATTGAGACCATCCATTTATAGTATGTAGTCTGGGAAGGAAGCTTTTAATTAACAAGATGTCTCATTGTCTTTTTTGCCTTTTCTACCAATATATGTGTTGTGGGTAGTTTGGGGCACTCTTGATTTTGCTGATGTAATGCACTTGGATCCCATTCCTCATTCCATACTCATGTGAATAGACCCATTGATAGCAATAAGACCACACAAGTAAACCAGGCTTGTAGAACTGTGGTTTTGTGTCCTATGTTTTCTGTAAAGATTAAATGTAGGTGATGAAATACTCAGTGTTTTTGTGAAGCGTGCTCTTGTGGCATAAGCTCACACAGCCCATGCAGAGCCCTGTATTTGGAGCTGTAAGTTAAATGTTCTAGACTATGTTATTTTTCTCTTTTGGTTTTGTTTTGTTTTGTTTTTCCCAGAAGAAAGCTGTAAAAAAGCCAAGAGCACCTCTACTAAACTTGGATGCTGTTATTTGGGATGGATAGTTAAATCTTGACTGTGAAGGCACCCCTCCCCCCGGGCTTTGCTTTCTGCTTTATGATTGTTTAATATTTAGTTGCATTAATCTGTGTAATCGTATCGAAGCCTATTTCAGTTCGCTTTTGCTCATGATACTCACAAGATAGCTGGAGTAGAAATGGACTGACTTTCCGTGTTAATGGGATCAAGGTCCTTGCTAAAGTATTGATTTATTTGTGGGGCAGAAGTGTACAAAATACGTAACACTTTGGAGAATATAACAGGAGGGATGCTTCTCTTTCCTGACACCTCTCCTCTAGCCTCTGACATGCAGCTATCAAACACAGAGGCTGCTAATTCCAGATTTCCAGCTATCCATAGATATTTTTTTCATGGTGCTCAAATACTACGGAGTGCAAAGGCTGTGGAGCTTTGCTCCTTTCTGCTGACAGGAAGAACTGGTTCAGGGAGGTGAAGGCTGTGTCTAACCCTTCTCTGGCAAAGCTCCTTGTGCCTTGGGGCGTTTTACTCTGTGGGTGGCTGTAGTGCTTTCTTTGCTTCTCTTGGGGGGATGAATACCCAGGCAGGTAGCTTTACTCCTGCTGACACTTGCACCAAGACAGAGAGTGTTGAGACTGAGGAGGAGTGGCTTTTGTATCACCAAGTCAGGCTTAATTTTTCTGTCCCTGTTGTCCTCTGCACGCTGGATTCTTCACTGCACAGGATGCAGTTGGTTCTGCAGCCGGGACATCCAGCAAAGTTTGGTGGGTTCATGCTCTTGATGAGAATTAGTGAGAAAAATAAGGCATACAGTGGAAGTTCTGAGCAATGTAGTTGCTCCCAGGATGATTCATGCTTCGTGGACAAAAGTACATGCAGAGGGCATTATCATTTTTTATGTGTGAAACTTGGTAAGAACAAAGTAAACAAGTAGCCGTAGCAGATTTTGGAGTTACATATCTTCTATAGTGTCCTTGAAAAGAGAGAACTAGTGTGTCAGAATAAAATGCATACTGATTTAAGGGTCAGAATACATAAAGTAAACTGTTAGCAATGGCAGATTAACCAAAGAGTTAAATTACAGTTAAATTTGCAGCCTTGTCAAGCAATTTAATGCTACATTAATGAATTTTGTAAAGAGACTGTTTTGAATAGAATCCTTTTTCATCAGATGTTGTGCATATGCTTTCTGTGTTTGTCTAAAGTAAAACATAATGAAACAGCTAATAAAACCCCAATTTATTTGTTTCCTTTGAGAAATAACTTCTTAAACTGCAACTACTGTTCTTTGTGTCCTGTATACTCTCTCTCCCTTTCGGAGTGTATGTTTTTCCAGTGATCTGTTACAAAACTTTTTCTCTCATCTTAGTTCTCATTAAAAAAAAGTAATGTTTGTATATGTGTGCAGTTAGTCAGGTCAGCAAGGGGGGAAAGCTCCTAAAACCTTCTCCTGCCACTCTGAAGTTGCACAGGGGCCTTTTACAACAATAGACCATGTGTCCTGGGAAGCAGAATGATAAAAAAGGAACTGGGAGAAGGTGCAGCTTTGTCTTTTTTCTCTTATGCTTGACCCTCAGAGGTGATCAAGAGGAGGGAACAAATTGTGACCCTTCACACATAAGTTCTGAAGTGGGGTTTTGTTTTTGTTTTTTTTCTAGGACATTAAGAAAGTTAGGGGGAAAACAGAGAAAAATAAACCAATCTGCTGAGAATTGGGAAGCTTATACTAGCATTAATGCATTGCTTGAAATTGATAGGTCAAAATTGTTAATAGCTGCTCATCTCTTCACGGCCTTAATGCACTGTCTTCCAGTTTTTTGGCACTCATCCTGATCCCAGGTGGCAGTTGTCTTACACAATTAGTAGCTATATTAAATTTTATTTTTACTGTTTAGGTCTTTGACACAAAAAACTAATGTAAACTACCTGTGAGAAGATGCTGAAAACCAATGCAGTCATCGATGCCTATAAAAAGACTTGGACCTTATGCCTAAATATCATGCCCTGTTTATTTTCTAGAACGCTTAGCATTTTGGTTACATAATTTTTTTTCCTTTCTTGTTTTCTGAACACAGGACCTTGGCGATGGTTATCTTAGTAAAATACACTTCCAAGTAAGAAACAGAAACATTCCACCAGATCTCAAGGAGAAAAACAATGATAATATTGAACAAATGTTTGCACATGTTGAAGTAAGTACAGATTTTATACTTTTGTGATATAAAAGAAATCGTGTATGGGATTTTTTAAAATGTTATACTATTAGATTAAGTCCTTCCAGAAAGACTTCAGATCTTAAATTGCCAGTGGCTTTTAATTATTATTCCTACAGTTGTTCTCATTCAGGTGTACAGCTATATTGGTGGTGGAAATTGGGGGATATGGAAAGGTTCCAGCGTCTTTTACCATGGAAGGATAATATTTCTTTGCACGTTGATTCACTAACATGAAGGAAAGATTTTTTTTTTTTTGTGGAAAAAGATTAAGCATCAAGATTTAGTTAACTTAGAGGTAAATATTAATTAAAAAAATAAATCTGAGGTTAATATTAATTTAAAGTGGCATTTACTGAATAAATAAATGGTGTGTAAGAATTTTATGCTCAGTGTATACTGTTCTACTGTGGAACTAACTTAAAATCCTGAGCGATTTTTTTAAAGTGGTGGTGGGAAATAATATATATTTAGTGTTCTTGAAAGAGAATGAACTTTGTTCCAGGTAATGAAAACTGTCCATTGAACTCAGGGTGAACTGATCAGAATAATTATTTTCTTGTTTGGTTCTACATTAAACCTCCAGATTATTGACTATTCAGGTTATAAACAGTAGAAATTCACTGTCTTGTTATGTTACCTTATATGTGAAAAGAAATCTTGGATTATAGTTGACTGAAAGCAGTGTATTTTATATATTTTAAACTGTTAGATAGATGGATGTGGTATATTTTCCAGTTACCTTTTCTGCAGTGGTTCCTTTTCTTTTTTCATAGCACACTGATTTTTATTTTTTTTTCCAGAGACACTCTGGTACAGTGTGTGAAATGAGTATTCTTTGGCCTAGTTTCTGAAGGAAATGGCACTTAAAACAATCATCCTGTCTGTGATGTAGTCATTTCTACTGATTTTTGAGTTCACTTACTTTCAGAGGTGTCTTAAAGAGGGGTAGATATCAAAAAGTATTTAGTTCTTAAAAAAATTGTGAAAGCAGATGGCTGGCTAGATGGAAATGACTTTTACTGGCAGGTAGAAGTCTGATCTTTAGCTTCTGTTTGGCTAGTGAATGCAAGAGCAGGACTGGACAAAAGCAACACCTGGGTCTTTCAGAGTGCCACGAGGAACAGCTAGGGTTCACATGATATAAGCTGGAAACAAGGCATGGTTCTGTTACCAATAAGACAATTAGTTCAATTCACTAAAAAAACAAAAAGAAGAGAAAATTTTACAGCCCCATTGCCAATACACCAGCATTGACACGAACTGGAATCCATATAATCTTTCAAATCATTACCTTGCATTTGTTTAATAAATACCAATTGTAAGCATAGCATATAAGTCATCTGAAGGGTGATTGAAGCATTTTTTTATTTTCCTTTAATTTAAATTGTAGTATTTCTTAAAATGAAGGCTAATATCAGTGCTTCAGAGGTCATTACTTAATTGTCACTATGGCAGTGTTATACTTCAGTATAAACTTCTAAGAACAGAGTACTGTTTATATTCAAAATTGCTTTTAATGATGGTGATTTTTTTAATAATGAATTATGTCTTCATTACAGAGTGGATTTTTAAAGAACGTCTTGTAAAAAGCTATTGAGTCCTGAAAAGAAGTATCAGCTATAAAAAAGTGTCACAACACAAAAAAGGCTTCAGAGCCTGTAGCGTACAAAAAGAGTTTATAGTGTACTGAAATATAATAATAAACAGTCTTTAATATACTGAAATGTGATTCCAGGCCAAACTCTATGGTTTATCAAGATACTAATATTAATAATTACCCCTTGAAATATTGTGCAAGATTGCTGTCTTTTGAATCATAGAAATGTCTAGGTTGAAAGGGACCTTGAACATTAGCTGGTCGTCTTTGAGAAGGAGCCTTTGTTCATGTTGCGTTAATAGCAGTAAAGATGAGTGAAGCAAGAGAGACGTTTTAGAAAATAATGGATTCTTTAAGACATGAGGTTATGCATAAGAAAAAAAAAAGGAGTTTCCTCTCCCAAATGTTCACTGCCTAATAGAGATTAAGTCAAATTTATATTCTTCATTGAACTGAAGGGTAACCAGACTGTTAAAAGTTATTTCATCTAGAAAATGAGAGGCACACCAATAAGTTGGAAAATGAAATTTGTTATGGATACATAAAGTAAAACTATATTTAACATTAAGGGAAGGATGGAAATGGTGGCTGTAGAGAGGATAAATTTGCTCAAGTACAGCAGTGTATATGTAACATGCATGTTCTTTTCCATAGATGTTGAATACAAGAGTCCTGTTGCACTTTTCTAAAAGTCTGTTACTTAAATATGTTTTGTTTTTGTAAAAATACATGTTGGACGCATAAATCACATGGTGTTACGGCGTTCCTGCAATCTCTTTCAATAAGTTATTGAAATACATTCTGGTGAATGGAGTTCAGCAAAAGTTGTGGTCTTGGTAGAACTTGGAAAGCTTTCCACTGGTTTTATCCCTTCAATATTTAGCTTTTTTTTTTACTTAGAAAATTTATAAATTTTATGTATTTGAAGCCTAAAGGAGCTTTAGATAAGAATTTAAATTTATTTTGGAAACATTGTGGACTGTTGTCTGATAGTTGCCTCTTGCACAATTTTCAGTTTCAGAATTACTGTTGTGATCTATATTTTTCTACATTATATGTACTGTTTTTGTCTTATGGAGGTATTTCCATCCATCAATAGTCTGATCTTCTTCAAGGCATGGTAGGAGATAGAACGCATAGATCTGAGTAATCAATATCCATTGTTGGAAACAACTTGTGATGACAATAAGACAAGGAAAAAATGTGCTGTGACATATGACAGGGTGTAAGAGGCAACAAGGTTTTTTTTCTCCTCTTCCTGGGAATCCATTTCAGAGATTACAAATGGAACATTAGTTTTGGCAGGAAATGTGAAAATCAGGAGGAAAATCAGGAGACAAATTTTTGAAGCTGGGGGGGAAATACAGAGAAGTTATCCATATAACTCCTATTTAAGTAATTGAACCGAAAACACATCAGAGAAGAGGTGATGTTGAATAAATCAGTGAGTATATCCTGTTGGAGAAAAGAGTGCAATTAGGATGTTGAAACAACAAACAAACAAAATTGTTACTGTGCTGTTCATTTTAATCTGTGCAGAGATACTGAAGTGTAATGATACAGTGCAGAAAATACACGTAATAGCTGAAGTAATTTAATGCAAATGGAAGATCAATTGTTAGTTATCACAGTATCAAAAATGTGCTAATTTTATGGGATCTCCAGGGAACCTGATCAAATTGTTTGAAAAGTTTGTTTCAGCTCATTGGTCATATGGACAGTTAACTTTTCCAGCTTTCCATGTTATTGTCTAGTGTCTAAATATTTGGAGCCTTCCTGATGAAGGAATGATGAATAACTGCATTCTGGTCTTTTCTACAGAGCAGTCTGTATTATGTGGTACGCTTGGTTCCATTTGCACAAGTTGTGTTTTCATCTCAAAACCAAGAATAAAATTCTGTGTGGGTTTATTTTCTTATTTTAGACATCTGCAATATAGAGCTTGTCATTTAAATCTTTGTTTCAGCCTGGGGAGGTAAAAAAGGGTTTTGGTTTATAAATCAGTCAACTTATTTTAGGTATCTTCTTAAGGAGAAGATGACTCTAAAACCATCTGTTTTTCTTCACTGATGATCAGGGGAAACTAGGTGGTTAACCTGGATGTAGATGTCTGCGTTTTGTCATGTCAATTTCATGTGACAAAATGTGGATTTGAGCTCATTAAAAGTAGTAGTAGTTGTTTTTGCTGGTGATTTCACTGAGTGCATGTAAAGGATCTGCACATGATAGTATACCAAAGTACCACCCTTTTTGAGGTGGTACTGGTGTGGGTTGGTGTATATGGTGGAACTTCTTGCACCAGTTCCCATCTTGCAGGTATTGTGAGATGGGCAGTGTCAGGAGGATCAGCTGGTTGGCAGTGAGTTGCTGTAATGGGAGGCAGCCTGCTCTGTAGGACCAACAGCAATACAGCCAAAGCCAAGAACAGGTTTGGGAACCACTGCAGCAAGTTGGCATCTTACCTAGTATGAGGCCAGGTTTTCCATTTTCCGGAATGCAGAGGCTTCTGCTTTTCACATAATAGTTAATTGATGGTTTCTTCAGCTCGTGGGCAAGCCTGCAGAATTCAGACTGTCTCCTCCTTGTCCTTTTGCATGTCAGTGAACCTTTGATATCTGCTGGTTTCCAGACACATTCTTGCTAATTCCTGAGCTGTCTTAGGCAGTAATTACCTTATGAACGGGTATGAGGTCTGTATAGGGTGTTGGGAAGTGTGAGAAGGCTCACAGCTTTAAGTGGGTACAGTATAAATGTCGCGAGTTGGATTTTATTCTTTATGTTGAAATGACCCTTAACACAAGCTTAGAGAAAGGGAAATGTGAAAAAGGATTTGTGGCCACATAGATGCACTGTCACTATAAAGGGCACGGGATGTGGAGACAGGTATGCTTAAATGCTAATATCTACTTAGAGCAGTTTAAGAAAGGTTCTCTCTTTGTACCTGGCAGCCACTGAGTTGTCAAGCCCTTTACCTAACCAGGTATCTAGGGATCCTGTTCCATGCAGACTCTATCCTTCTGTTTGCCACCGTACTAGAAAAGGATTGAGAATGTTCCTCTGGAATGCCATTCTCTGAGCTCTGTGGATTTAGTTTAATCAAGATGTTTTGTTATAACATCCAAATTGGTCCACAGAAACTACTAATGACATTGTGACTGACCATAAACAAACTTTTGAATGAGTTTGTGGAGGACACCCCTCTAACCAGTGAGATCGGGTTCAGTCCCTAGGATATGAGCTAAAGATCATAAATCTTCTAAAGTATCTTCCACTATAACAAAAATAGCATGAGATGCAAAGCAAGGAACTGATAAAAACACAGAGTGCCATTTGAAAATTTTCAAGTTGCAATTTCTTTCTGGTTAAATTTTCTATTGAG